GGGGGGGGGGGGGGGGGGGGCAATTATGTAGGGGAGTAACGGTGTGCCTACATCAGCAATTTTAAAGGGGATGTATCGTTGCGGGGATCTATCAGTGTGGGGTTGTATCGAAGTGCATAATACAAAAATTTTCTAAGGGGGATTATTGGTGCGGGGGAGTATCGACATGACCCTGGAAAAAAATCTAATGATCAAAATCTAATGATAGTACAGTCCCTAATAAACATATAGGGTGGAAATTTTTGTCCAAATAAATACCCGTACATGTACGGAAATTAGGTACCAGAGAGTGCCCCCCCCCCCCCATTTTGGAAGGCAGGTTTACAATTTTTGAGGTTGTTCACAGTAGGCTTGACTATTAAGCTTTGTGGTTAAGGTCCTGCTTTATACATGTATAATATACACATATGATATTATACATTTTTTACACGGATCAACAGTTCAACTTCTGTAGACTTCGTTTTAGAAGACATTTTTACTAGTAACTATATAGAAAAGCACTCTGAGAGCCCAGACCTCCACCAAGGCAGCAAATTTTGATTATTATTGATTATTGATTGATAATTGACCCAGATCACCACCAAAAACCAATCATCTGTTCTTTGGCCCACTTCTGAAAGTTCCTGAAAATTTCATCAAAATCGGTCCATAACTTTTTGAGTTATGTTGATGGCAGACAGACAGAAAGACAAACAAACAATCAGGGGTGAAAACATAAACTCCTTGGCAGAGCAAATAAGATATGTCTGAATCACTTCTCTGTGTTGTGAGTGTAAATTTGCCATTGATTTCTATGTCATGTGGGAAGCCATATGGAGGGGTGCATTGTACTTGCACAATAAAACAGGTTTACATGTAAACTTTGCTTTATACTTAGCATTGTGTCTTACTTTGTCTATAATTATGTTCCAATCTATAATATCATTCCATTCTACAATATTTTAAGATTGGACAGAAATTTCTATACGGTTGTTATTTCCATTCTGTTCTACAATTTAGAACTCGAGAGTAGATGTGATTAAAATCCTTCTCTTATGAAATTCCAAATGTGTAAAAAAAAAATTAAAAAAAAAAAAAAACATCATGAGTGAAACCAGCATATGATGTTCTACTACAAGATTCATGGTTCCATTGTGTTATACAAAATATATCCATTATTATTTTACCAATAGGCCTACAAATTCAAAACATCTTGAAGAAAAGGGTATCAGTGGCATCACACCATTCACCCCACAGTCTCTGAAAAATCACTCATTGACATACATAGGAACCTGAATTATAAGGCAATTGCGACTCCCCACTCATGGCTTAAAATGGTTATTGGTCTGTTAATTTCTGCTGTCTAATCTTACAGAACAAATGATATTTTGTTAAAAAAAATTGGGGGTCCTAAATCACCCTAACAGTGAAAGTGTTGCAAAATATGCTGTTACGTTTAGGTTAACTGTGCCTAACATCACGATTAACCTGTTACACCTATTAATTACTATTTTTATTATATATTTCAAAATTGTAATTTAATTACTATTATTTTATAATTCTTTGCCAGCTGAGAAATAAGCCAGGTATAAGAAAGATTGCAGAATAAAAATGGGCTAATGGAAAGGAATGGATCAACTGCTCCCAGATTATTGCACTCCTCCCTCCTCTAGCCCCAAATTGACCTCTCTAATGCCGGATGTCACCATATCAGAATACATACAGTATACCTGCAGTATATATTCAGCAAAGCTGTCAAATGTACCGATACAGCAGGAAATAACAATGACAGTTCATCAATTTTGATGTAATATTACATAAAGCCTGGTTATTCAGAAATTGTAACTGGCACAAGGCTTCAGCCCCATGGGGATTCAAAAACACCTTGAAAATACCAATGTGTGAAAAATGAAAATTCAGAAAAAGCTACGTAACTGCAAGAGAAATGGTCCAATAAAGCTACTATTCCGACTTGACCTGTCTGCAAGTGCTATGTATCACTCCAGTATGTTTGGGGACAATAAGCCGCATGCTTTTTCATATATTGCATTATAGTGCAAGTGCAGTGCTGACATTGATGGGCAAGGTGAAGGAAATAAATAAATAAAAACTAGAATAACTTCAATTTTTTAATGGAAGTGAGCAATCTTTAGCTCTCTCATAATGAAGTTTTAACCATTCAATTTGTTTACAACTGATCCTTTTTTGTATCATATGCTGTTTAATTGGCATGTATGTTGATTAATTTCACAATTGCTTCATGCAGCATGAAAACTTCACGAAATTAAATATGGGATCTGGCTTTGTAAAATCATTTATCCGTCGTTTTAAGATTATTTAACTAACTCTTTCCTACATGCAATTTAACTAATAAAGAAAACAGAAAAGAAATCCACGTTTTCAGTTGAAGTATCACTATAACTTAAATAAATATCTTTGACCACCAAGAGATGAAAAAATAACCTTCTACCTGCATTATAATGCAATTGAACTTATTCAAAGTCACTTAAATCAAAGTCTTCTGAGTTTAAAAAGAAATAAAACATGAAAAAAGCCAGGCCATTTGTTTTAAGGGAACAATAATTCTTTTTCATGTCCATATTCATTTTGAAAAATCAGTTGATAGAGAGATTGTTAAGGGAAGCTGGTGGAGATGCAGAGCTGCTTGCTTTGCCCACATCTGTGCAGATTCCTGAACCACGACCACGTTCTTGCATATGTGTGAACTCCTGGCGAAGGCGTTCACGTAGCTGTTGACGTTGGATTTCCAGCAGTTTCTGATTGGCTTTAAATCTCTGTATCTCCTCTTCTGAAATGGCCTCATCTTCTCCTTCCGAGGAACAAGAGGCTTGCTGTCAAAATTAATGCAGTTTGTTAGGATTGAAGCATATATATGAAGTGACATAAATGTTTGTAAGAATTCTTTTCAATCAATCTCATATCTGAAGCCTTAAAAATGAAATGTGCAATGTGCTTATATATCTATAAATTGCTGTTAAGAAAAAACATGAGAGGGTCTCACACAAAAGCTGGTGGCCTCCCATTTTTATTTCACAAATTAAGTCCATTAAGTGACAACATCAAAATAAAAGTAAGAACTGTTCCCATATCACTTCACATACAATTTAAAATGGAAGCTTATACACCTATATTCTTTTGATACACAGATATTCATGGGAATACATCATTAGTGTAAGTTATTACAAATCTACATTTCTGAACAACTACAAAAAGTACAACAGTATTAGCCCCCTTTCTGACAATTACAAGGACTGGAAGGATCCAAATAGGAATTTAAGTTTTCTGTAAAATCCTTTTTAAAAGATATAACTACATGAATATCTGTAAACATAAAATTTAAACTCTATACTCACATCCAACATATCTTGTAGACTGAGAGTTAAGCCTGATGGTTGTTGCTGGTCACTGTTAAAAGTTCCAAGTCCATCATTGGTGCACTAGAAAAAAAATCAATTATTTTCAACAAGCCATCTGTAATTGACAAATCTACACTGCCATACCAGCAACCAAATAAATAGGTGATGACATATTTCAGCCTAATTGTTAAGAAATAATCCTGTAAAACAAATGCAGAATAAGGTTACAAAACAGAATAATGAAACAAAAAGCAAAGCTGTACAACGTATACACCAAGAGGTAAATAATGACGCACGAAATAGATTTGTATATTTTGATGCAATTTTTTATGTCCAGATGCTAATTTTCTTTTCTTTTGGATCAGTGATATGGTTAGAATTATTGTGCTTTGGTGTCGATTTGAGAATATCATTGTGCAATAATAAAAGTCACAACTTCTGCACAGTGCACATCTTGCCTTGTACATGTACCAGTGCAGCATACGTGATAATAAAATTTCATGTGTGTAATTATGCTGCCTATTTACTTATTTATGTAACTGTCTTGCTTATTTATTTGTGTAACAGTGTAGTTAGTTTCAATTAGTGTACCTTGTTTGTAAAGGTGTAGGCTATATGAATAAAGAAATTTGTATAGCAGCAAATGCTGTTTTGTTTTGATTTCAAAATTCGTGAGCATGTAACATAACAGTTACAGTCTTTGTGTTTCAATCATATTGACAAATTACTGACCCAAAGCTGGGATAATTTGGCAAGGTAACCTCACTTAAGTTAATTATTGTATAGTTAAACAATATAATCACCACCAATTCTTAATTACATATTATAGGTAACATGAACTTTCAGAAAATAAAACTAGCAAAGGGCTTCAGACACATGGCATTTCAAAGTCAGACAGTGAAAATGCCAATGTGGAAAAATGAAAATAATTATCCAATAAAATCACTATTTGAACTTGGCCAGCAAGCACTGCAGTCAGTTTGAGGATAATAAGTTTTCCAAGATTTGTGTTTATAGTGCAAAGTGAGCAGACAACAGACAGACACAGGTGAGGGCTATATGTACAGACACACCATGTCTGTACATAACAAGATAAATAATAAATTTGAAAGTAACAGTAGTTCCCCTTGCAGGAAAATGAAGCACTTAGACTCCGTTCACATGAAAAATATATTTTCTAAAAATCTATTTTCTATTCGAGGTATCTTGTGATCACTCCCGAGCGCAGCTGAGAATTAATTACAGCTTTGGAAGTAACTGGCTCGCGCTGTCAGTAATTACACCGCGGGGTATTCAGGGCACAGACCGTGATCACAAGATACCGCGAATAGAAAATAAATTTTTAGAAAATAGATTTTTCATGTGAACGAAGCCTTATAGGTCAAATAGGTTTAATGAAATTCTGATTATGATAAATTTTTTATCAATGCACCACTAAAGCATGTTTAAGGCATGATGAAGCTGTACTTGCTAATTTGACAAGGAATGTTTCCAATGCATTCAAATGTCAACCTTAGTATGCACCAGCAGCAAATCAAGTAAAACTGAAAACACACTAAAAAAGATGCCCATGTAAATTGGTCAGATGACCAAAGTCAACAAAATGACGAAAATCCTTTAAAGCATGTCTTGTCCCCAAAAGATAACTTTACTCTTATCCATAAAATGAACATCTCATGATCTGCATTGTGAAAAACTGTCAAACTCTACATTAAACTAGAGGATCAGAGAGGCAATACTGCCTCTGGGTATTGTACCACCAGCTGGAGTACGGGCATTCATATGGAAAACAAAAGAAAAGAGACACTACTCCAATATTGTGCTTGACAAGCTATACAAAATGCAGTAAATGAGTTCTCAGTTTTTTTTGTTAAAAATTACAATTTATAACAAAATCATGGGGAAAAGTAAAAGGTCAAATCCAAAGTTTTGAAGTGCAGTTCATTTCAAGAAGTAGGTCAAAGGTCAAATTCAAGGTCATAGGGAGACTGTCAATATATTAGTTCCTATTCAAGTTCAGTAGTATCTATGGACATATCTGTGCTAGTTTTGAAGATATAAGGAACAAAAATTTTGCAAAGTCCAGTTCATGATGAAAAGTACGTCAAAGGTCAATTTTAAAGGTACATACGAACCGAGCATCGGTGGAGCGTGGATTCCCAGTAACACATGTAAACCACTTCTACTAGTTTCTTATACAATCCAAATAAATTCGACATGCCAAGGGATAAACTGAATAGATCACTCAATCAGTCATAAAAGAGGTTTAGACTGCTCCTTTCTTTAAATTTTTGGTTGTAAATTTAACCTACTTTCGTGACCTACTTTTCTGCCCCATTGACATACAGCATAGAATGCTAGCAGAAAAATCCGTTCAAACATCATTTTCAGGTAAAATTAAACAATGCCTTTTGGTAATTCTCCTAGTTATACTACTTGAAACTATATGCTGGCATTTGGTTGGTTTTTGTGACAAAAAATTGACTTTGTATGCATCTTTAAGGTCACAGTTTGATTGCCAGTATATGACTTCCTGTTCGGGTTCAATGGTAACAATGGGCGTATCTCTTGGAGAAATAAGGGACGGAAAAATTGCAAATTCAGCTCATGGTGAAAAGTAGGCCAAAGATCAATTTCAAGGTTACAGTAAGATTGCCAGTATATGACTTCCTACTCAAATTCAATAGTAACTATGGGCATATCTCTGCCAGTTTTGTAGATATAAAGGACAGAAAAGTTGCAAAGTTCAGTTCATGGTGAAAAGTTGGTCAAAGGTCAATTTCAAGGTCACAGTTAGATTGCCAGTATATGAGTTCCTATTCAAGTTCAATAGTAACTTTGGGTGTATCTCTGATAATTTTGGAGTTATTTCACATTTTATTTTCATCACTGAATATTGCAATGTTGTACTCTTTGATACAGCATAACTCGTAAAACCTATGGGAAAAAAAAAAAAAAACAGACACCATCTTCAGTGTTGCGCTTAATCAGCTCTATAAAATGCATATAACAAGAGGCCTCTAGCATTTACAGTTCCAGAATTAGAGAGAGTTTTCAGTTTTGGCATTTAATGGCTGCTTCTCTTGTAAAAATGCACCCACTGACCTCCAACTCAAAAAGATGAAAGATGACCCTAAGTGTAACATCTGCCCATAATATTATACGTTAGGTCTGTGTAGTTTATGTAAATTGGCACAAATAATTTTTTTTAAGAGAAAAATTCCAATTTTTAGAAAATTTTGGCCTATTTGGCCTATTTTGAAATCTCCACATGACTTTCGGTCAGACATCTATAGTAATTTTTCCCATGATTTGGGAGATATTTAGTTTTTAATTTTGTAAATTTTGGACAAGGGTGCATTGCAATGAGTGCCACACCTAGACCCAACACTGACAAAGCCCAAAATTTACATGAATTGAGTTGAGATATGTGACCTTAATCCAAGAAATGGGGACACACTCACAGGCCCTTGTAGTCTAGGAGGAAATATGGCAGCTTCATGAGACAGGCTGGGACGAAAACCGGTACAATAATTGCATGCAGTCATTTAGAATAAATGAACATTTCTCACCTTCCATGTCCCTCTCATGTTACAATCTGTGTCCCCACAATCAAAATGCCTCGCACAACTTGCAGAGTTTGGACAGTGACAGCCCTCACCTACAGAAACGAACAAAAAAGATTTTTAGAATGACAACAGTGATTGATTTCCCTTCCCCATATTTATATGAACTACTGCCCCAGCTTAAAATTTGTTAATTTTTATCCGCACAGAAACTAAAACTCCTCACTCTAGAAAGTGCATATTGTCCACAAATGACATTCTGCTATTAAATAATAGAGAATGCCACACTGTAATGGAATATAACTAGCCCTTTCAGACCCGAGAGATTCAGACTTTGCTAGCCTTGATGGAAAATCACTACACAGATCAAAAGTTTTTATACAAAATTAACATTGAAAGCTAACAACCACCATATAGTGCAAAAAGCTTACTTCACAGCCATGACAGCTGGATATTTTAGGACTTATTCAATTCACTTAATAAAATTTGCATTACCATCATGCTCTAGCTCCCCACTACCGCAGACTACAACATCAGATCCTTCTCTGGAACTTGGGGTGCTACAACTGTCGCAAACTTCATGGTCTGATGAATAGCCATAATCACTACGTGTACACTTGTCATCACAGCCACAAAGAACAGGAACACTTCTGGGACTTAAAGGCGGGGGCTCAAATTGGTAGTCACCACTGGCTAGGTATTTGGTGCATGTTCGCTGCTGCTTTTTCTCTCCCGTCATACAGTTCTGATCTCCACATGAACAAGGTGGTTCTTCTGATTTGTTTGTAGTTGTCATGTGAAGCTTTGTGTTTGAAGAACATTCACATATGGTGCAATTCTCACGGTTTGAATTTTCATCACACTAGAAAATCAAATAAGCAGAAATTTAAGCTAATCAACTCCATTTACAAGAATGTAGAAAAGTTCCCCTTAAAACAGAGAATACTCTCAATAATTTCATGTCTGCTTTACAAGCAATATCTTTTTTGCTTGTAATTTACTGGATATTTAAATTAGTTAATGTTTAAACTGCTTTTATCGTCAATAACAATCACATATATGGAAATCTAATCCTTTATTATGTGTAACAAAAACTCCAGTCTGGTTTGGGAAGAAGCATTTTAAAGGACAATAAAAGAAGGGAAATCAAAGTTTTGAGCCGTGTCCTATTACATTTTATTTTTAAAGGCATATCCTAAGTTTCTGATAACAAACCCCCACCTGACAATTCTCTTTGTTGCTGATTCCCTTATTAGTCTTCTTTTTCTTCTTCTTCTGTCTCTTATGCTCTTTCTTGATCTCTTTAGCTTGTTCTTCCTCCAATAACTCCTGGCACATAAGCTCAAGATTGGTGATACCTTGTTTTCTTTCAAGAGCAACCTAACAGAGAAATCAAGCTTTGCCTAATATGGTTCATTTCAAATATTGGATTTAATTTGTGATAACTGGCCAAATTAACAAGAATATATGAGAAACATATAATGCAGACAAATCAGTATTTTCAGAAAAATACTTTCTATAGGAAATGTCAGATGGAGTATTTTTGTTAAGGACAAGAGCAATTATATAACAAGTTGAAGAAAATCACACAGAGAATAGATGAAAAATGACAATCAACTTGAACAAATTTTAATTACATATAAAATAGGAAAACTACCTCAAAATTTTTCTTTAGTGCATCAACACCCAAGTAAAACAAAATCTGCCAGGTCTGTTCTTCTGCCTTTAACTTTTGTGAAATTCTATGCAGGCGCTCATAAAGGTGTATTCCAAGGCAGGTCAATACCTCCTCCTGTGCAATGTCAAGTGTTTTGGCATGTCTTTCTCGTCGACTGGAAGGGCAAACAATTTTGCACTTTTTTCTCTCTTGCATGTTTATATGAATGGGGAATCAAACAGTTTGGAGATGAAACTATCCATGAAAATCCCAAGTATGGTTGAAATATTAATTAAAATTTTAATATATATATATATATATATATATATATATATATATTTTTTTTTTTTTTTTTTTTTGCATATTCAATTTCAGCTCAACTCAACTAAATTTTTATAAGTATGCAAATATAATGCAAAGCAAATAATATACTTTTTACCTTCCTGCCAACTCTGGTTCTGCTCTCCCAATGAGGTGGGCAATGAAGTCTGTTTCACACAACACATGAAGATGCCTCTCCTGTGGGCAGCACCTCAATCCTTCATACAGCGCAGGGCAGAAGCCCTTCTCAGATGTACTGTCTCCAACCAGAATTGAATATGCACGGAGCACTTTGGACTTACATTCTGAACAGAACCTGTAATAAGTAGATAAATTTCATATCAATTCTGTAATAACTTTACAGCCCAACAAAACTTACCAAAACAAACATACATCAAATATAACAGGGTACTCTGAAGTACTAAATAATTGTACCAATAATCAAAACCCAAATGGGGATAATCATTCTACTAGTACAATTTTTCAGCATTTCAGAGTACCTACTTAAAATTTTTCTCATCACCTGAACAGTTAGATGGCCAAATAAAACCACATCAAAATAAGTGCTTGTTTAAATGTTCACTTCCAGTGGTCACAATGATTGAGTAGTGAATAAATAAAGATGTGAAATTTTTCATTTTCACAAGAAAAATACCAGAAAAACACATTTTCCTGGGGTAAATGAGAATTTTCCCATACATACCAATGGTAAATGAATCCATTCCATCACTCAAAGTTAGTTCATGTTTTTTATAAGAGTATAGTTTTTGTAAAAAACCCTTATTGTACATTGAGAATATGACTGTCGATGCACAATCTTGGGATATCCAGTGAATTTTGGATGACCTATTTTAAAGCCACGGGAAGACAAAGACAACAGAACAAGAAGAAAATAGAGATTCTGACAGGGGATACTGCCTTCTGGTGCTGTACCACCAGGGGGAATAAACGCATTTAAGTTTCTAGGGTTGGATGAATGTGGTGGCAGTAAATAAATTAAATAAATTTACCACAATGTGGTCCTTGAAAATAAAATCTTTGCCAACTGAAAATATGTCTTACTTATATCTCTAAAATATAGCATTTTATGTCACCTTTCTTTTATAATACTACAAAAAAGGCAATTTATTTCAAAGGGAAAGGTTCCAGCATTGCATTTAGCAAGCTCTACAAAATGTAACAAACAAGAGGTCTCTAGTATTCATAATTCCATTGATTAGAGAGAGTTTTCAGTTTTGGCATATAATGGCTGCTTCTCCCATTAAATGCACCCAATGAACATCAAAGAATACGCCAAGTGTAACTCCTCACCATAATCTGAAAGCTTAGGTCTATGTAGTTTATTAAAGATCATCACTGACAATTTTTTAAGAAATTTGATATTTATCACAAAATAATGGAAAATAATAGGTCAAATTCAAGGTCTTATTATGAATGTCAATGTGTGACTGGTGGTACAATGATGGTGGAGCAGGATCTGGGACCTCTACAACAACTAGGAAAAGAAAACAGAAAATTAACACATTGGAATTCAAAATCCCAAAGAAACTATGAATATAATGAGGGTGGCATGAAATCAAGTTGCCCCTAGAATTAATTGACCAGAAACTACCCAACTATCCGCCAAGTCTGTGAATCAGATAATTTTATGTTGATTGGCTTATTTCCATTATAAGAAGTGTGAATGCACCGTAGTTAATCAAATTTGAATTTCAAAGAGCAAAAATTATATATTCCAATTCTAAGCATCTAATGTGTGAACTGACATAAACTATTACTTGTTTAGGTCTCAAATGGACATAAGATTCCACCTGACAATGCCAATTCCAATGGTTTGCACAGTAACTGGCAAGACTTTGAAGGCCTAATTGCAAGCATGGATTTTGTATAACTTACAAAAATGCCATTTTAGTAGTATTAGGCAAATAATGACAGTTTTATGTGTTGTTTACTATGTATTTATTGTGTGATTTTTAATTTAAAATGAAAAGTTGTCACTGCTCAAGTTTAATATTTAAAATGATCTCACTGGCTTTAAAGTAAATACGACTTTGAAGACTGATCTCTCTTACCTGTGCTTTCTGAGATATACATCTAGAGTATCCATTAAGCTTTCAGTGTCTATAAGAACAACTTCTTCCCTGCATTCTTGTGATAGCAAATCCCATGTGTCCATCCAACTGCAAATATGTAAAATACAAGTAAACTCTTATGTTACTTTACGTTGAATGCTATGTGGTTTGCTTCCAGAGTTCATGAACACTATATAAATTCATCCCAAAATGTTGTCAACCATGACATTTCATGAACACTGTATAAAGTAATCCCAAAATGTTGTCAACCATGAAATTATGTCAATTCCATACAACAAGTGCAAATGATAGGTCTTTATAGGTTCATTCATATAGTTTGAAACCAGCTAAGGCAAAGCAGTACATGTTTTAAAAGGAACAATTGCCAGTTATATACTTGAAAGGTTATTATTAAAATATTATTTGAATTATGTTATTTGTAAATAAGATATTGGCAGTTTCATTACTCACGCTGTTGGTTTAGATTTGTGTGTATCCAAGGAATGTAGTTGGCACCTCTTGTTTTTCTTGCTCTTTGGGATGGACTCCATCATTGAAGTCAGCTTGGACCTGATTGGGTTTAAACTTTCGTTAATCCGAGTTAAAGGTTAAGGTAACACTTGCATAGCCCTAACACTCACCAATAAAGCCAAATGCTTAAACTGACTTAAACTGGCAGAGTAAAACAGGGTTGCTTTGAATTGTTTTAGATGACAAATTAAAACCATTTGGAGAAAGTAGGGTTTAAAATTAGTGATTTGGCTAAGTGAAAAAAAATTCCTTGTACTTACCCAGTTTAAGATAAGATTTGAAATGTACGTGCCACTTTGTCACAAGCATTAGCATTTGTAATAATGTATATTTCACCATATGTATATATATATGGCATATATACATATGCTGACATATGTAATGTCAGAATCAAAGCCAAAAAATTTAAATAAATAAAAATAAAAAATAATAATAATAATAATTCAACAAAAAAGTTTCAATTTTTATTTAAAAAATGACGGTGATGGAATTTTATGGATCACAAACTTGAAAAAAGGAATATATGTTCTTGAAAATGCATTTTAAAAAACAACACATTTTAAGTATATCATACAAATAAGACTTTATTTTAGACTGGGTTCCCATGCTAGATCGATCCATCTGGATCAGTCTATCTCCCTGGGGAGTCTCACTAAATTGCTATCAACTAACCGACTTAAATGTCTGTCACGCCTTCCGATTCAGCTAGGGGGTAAAGATAATTACCCCATTACAGCTTTACTAGGCGTGACAGACATTAAGCCAGTTAAGTTGATAGCCATTTAGTGAGACTCCCAAGGGAGATAAATCGATCTAAATATCTGTGGGTCCCTTAGATAAACAACCAAGAGAAAGAAAATCAAATTGGTTAAAATATGAAAATAATCCAGTCTGTAAATATCCCTACTTCTCTTATGATATGTCTATCAAATGAGGAAGTGACAAGAATATTCACAAGAAATTTTGAAGAGCTAAAAAGCCATCCATTTTCACTTAATTTTCTTTAAAATTGTGGCCAATCTGAATTTCTATACGTAGGTTAATTATCATGATAGTATCTGCAGAAATATCAATATCACTGCTCACACATAACCCATTTTGAAACATCCAACTTAGACATAATAATACATTTGTACACTCACCCGTGTATATAGAACAAAGCATAAATAGCCTTAGGATCAAAAAGGTAATTTCTGCTGATGGAGAGACATGAAGTAGCTGCGACAATGAGAGGCTCTAGAGCTGGGTATCCTGTTTCCACAAGCTGACCAAATAGTTTTTCAACACTAGAACAAAAGTATTATCAGTCATTCACCTGTGAACTGAATGGAATAATCAAAAGTCCAAAAGCAACACTGACCATCTATTCAAGTTGAAACTTACAGACCTTGTCTCTGAAATTGTTTCTAAACGTAATGATTGTTCTATTTCCAAATCTAACAGTTTTACTAAAATCTGTCATCTATCAGATTTTTATATGTATCAAGACTTGACGTGAACTTTTTTCAGCAATTTGCCTTATCTGGCATGAAGCTCTGAAAATCCACTTGCCCTACTCCAAAAACACTTATTTTTAAACTGAGGAAGGAGGGTACTACCTCAGCCTACTATGTGAAATAATTTTCCTCTTGCATGATCTGAAGGTGTCAGCTATCAAATTCGGCAGTAAAATTGCCCCATCATCATTAATATGTTACTAGGAAAAGTATGTCAAGTGTCACCAATAGCGCAATGCTACCTTTGACATACAACATGCTTATAAGAGTCAATTGAAACGCTTTATAGTGGCATTAGTTCTAAATATAAACTATCCACAAAAAAAAAAAAAAAACACTCTGGGCATAAATTGAGCACAGAGCTTGCTGGAGAACATCCTGCATATCAAAATAATGGAATTAAAGTATAGAAGGTTGTTCATAAAATGTGGTGCACTGACAACCCCGGTTTTGTTCAGCAGGCTATAAATTTTACACACATTTACATCTCGGCACTAAAACTTTACCTACTACATAAATGATATTTCAAATATGAAAAAAGTTTTTAGTCACTTTATAAAAGAGAACTAAAGCATACAGCACAATGTGTCATTTATTGATTTACCTTCTCCTGCACCCAACACATGGGACCATTTGAGAGAGAAGATTAAAAACTTCTTTCCCTGTGACCATGAGTGCTGTGGCTATCTCATCCTGACTCAAAGCATGGAATCTTTGAACAAATCGCTCCAGTTCTGTCATCTTAATTGTTGACATTTCACACCCAATACATGTATCAGTGAACTGCAGAACAAGCTGGAAAGCAGATTATATGCATATTGAAAAAGGTAAACAGCAACAGAAAAACATGAATGGTGTCTATTTTGGTATGATATAAAGTATTCTCTATAACTATCTCATTATTATTATTTTAACCAAATATTCAACTCCTTATCTTATTTACATTTAAACTGCATGTGTTATTTGAACCCTGTACCACTGGTACTTGCTATATGATACCAGAATTCTTATCTACTTGCATCACTACATTTATGTTTATCACTTATATTTATTAATGTTATTATTTCACACACACACATTGCCTACCTCCCCCCAACGTATGCTATGGGCATGATTATTTGGCTTTTTAGTTTGTAACTTAGTCACACCAGGGAATTTCAAGAAGAACATTATGCTTCGAGATCGTTGTTTACGGATCATCTTAGAAACATATCAAGGTATTCTCTGTCTTTAAATTGGTATATTATAACACTGGGTTGAATGTGTTATCTGTAACCGTAATTACCGAAAGCGACTCGTCTACGATGAGGGGGATTTGTCTCCTCCCAAATTGGTAGTCATCAGTCCTACATACTGCTACTAGCTTCGCCATAGCTGGTTGCACTCTAGATTGCAGTCTCCGTTATCCTTAGAATGAAGCAAATCATTTAATTGAAAGTCTTGATCCCTTTGGGTCTTTAAAGAGTAAAAATTTACAGACTTTTAGTAGCCTCCTGTATACATCAGGAACCGTCACCTCTCCACAGACCGTACCACAAAGCGGATGATATTGCGCAAGGAAAGTATTTGCTCGCTAGCTTATTTAATAAAGTACACTTCTAAAGTAAATATGTTTTTCGAGTACACCAGTTGGGCCTTTGAAATGGCTATCTTTACAATGGATTTATAATTGCCACAATTCGTGGTAAAATGCGATGAAAATAGTGCAACTAACTTGAAAGTTTCTTTATATCCATCCGCCAGGCAGTTTATTATTATCACTAGATGGCACCACACATGCTAGAACTGCAATAGAACTCATCGAGTAATAAGCTCATCTTGATTGCAGACTGCGAAGGCATGGAGGGAGTCTGGGATAATCTGAGCGTAACTTTGAGCAAATTTATCACTAATGTGCTGAAAAAGTTAAAATTCAAACGTATGACTCCAGTTCAGGTAATTCCTCTATTAACAGAAATATCACAATTATATCTGTACTATGTTGCAATACCGTCGCGGGACCCATTTTGGACAGCGATATGTTGGACATATTTCAAGATAATTTTAATTTTAGTCTGGCAGATACTGGTATTCATTACTGTCCTGAACATTTTTAACTGCAGTTTTTATTTTTAAAAATTTTATTTTTGGGAGGTTATATCTATTACCATTACTAATACATATAATGTTGTGTCCTATTGTAGGCGGCATGTATTCCACTGTTTATGAGTAATAAGGATGTAGCTGTGGAGGCAGTGACAGGATCAGGGAAGACTTTAGCATTTCTCATCCCTATACTGGAAATACTAAATAGAAGGGAGGACAAATTAAGAAAGAAAGATGTAAGTTATATTTTTTTTCTCTGTACAATTTTTTGTCATTATTCAATTCACTTCAATTAAATTTATAGATCTGCACTGGTACATAAATAATTATGACCTTGTACAATGTAATATATAAAAAACAATACAATTGTGCATTACCAGTCTCTAATAGAGGTTGTCCGGGTTCTCAACGAGAAGACCACATTTCTCTGTGATTTTACGAGATCTGCCTTGAGGTGGGGTTAAAATATGGAGACCACAAGGAAGTAGAGCAGCGATTTCTTTACTTGAAAAATAGCTGAACTTACACATTTTTTGAGCTACAGGCTTGTTCTCTTTTCACTTTATAAAGAAAAAGTATTGATATAATATGTACGCACAACTGACATGTTGAATTTGCCAAGCTAAGAGCCGATGACGCTTGCAAAGCAAAATTCGCCCGGAGGACATACTACGCAGCAAAGGTCGCGTTTAAACAGGCTACATCACCAGAGATTTGCTTGTGGTACAGGAAAATGACATTAGTTATACGCATGCCTTTTAGATGAAAGTGGCTAGGATTGAATGAGAATCGGACGGATGATGCCCCGGCAGATTCCAATTATTGTTTTATTATTTATTTGTAAATAAAATAATCCAGTGCTGTCAAGGGCTTAATTGCTTCAATTTTAGGTTATCATAANAACCATGGTGTCCTGTAAACTACACACACAAAATTTACTTATTAATATGCCCTTGACCGGTGATGCCATGAAGCCAGTGACGTATCAGGTGCGGGTTGCTGCAGTTGGTCCCTTTCTTCCTACAAAATACTGCGACCTGATCTGTACTTTAAATATGTCGGCACTTAGTCCTTTTAATCTGATCAAGCCCAACTTCTCTTTCTTTACTTCACTTCTCTCGCCAGTCGTGTCCGTCATCTATGGTCATTTTCCTGGTTTTATTGCTTAGCTTTAACTGCAATGCACCCTACGACACAACATTGGCAATTCGCCATTGCGTTGCTCTATCTCAAATTACATGACAACGCCAAATTTTACTCAGTGCAATCCTATCACATAGACTTGTGCCTGACCGCGAGAGAAGTTTCAATGGCAGATTTTAACCCCACCTCTCGTGAAATCTCGCTCCAATCCAGGTCTCGTTTGACGTCATCTGCTGCGCAGATGTTCAAAATAGGCTATCTCGGACCGTCCCTATTGATAATTGGATTGCCAGTTGTGAGTGAACAAGGATATATCTTTATTTAATGAACAGATGTACTAGTTTAGTTACTAATAAAGTATTCAAGCTAGGCAGTGAGATTTAACTTCTTAGTGTGATTATAGATTCACCATAGACGCAAACCGTGAAGCTTATGTCTACAAACATAAGTTACACAAGTGTTTCAAATTTACAAGGAAGGGAGAACTACACATATTTAAACTAATAGATAAGTAAATAACAAGGTTAAAATGATATAAGGCTCTATTCCCATAGATTTTAGATCGATCTATCCCCGCGGGGAGTCTCACTAGATTACTTTCAGATAATCCGACTTAAATGTCCGTCCCGCCTACTACAAGCAGTAAGAGGGTAATTAACATTCGTGTCCGCCCGGCTGACAGCTATTTAGCGTGAACCCCCAAAGAGTTAGGTCGATCTAAAGTAGGTCGATCTAATCTATGGAAATGGGGTGTAAGACTTTAATAAGTATTGTGACCCTTGAACATGCGCCATGTCGAGTCCCACTGCCGAGTCACTTCTCACAACAGAACAGTGAGACCATACACTGACATTTTTCAAGGAATATGCTAAGAGTTACCAAGGAGAGCAATCACTTCATTTCTTTTCTTGAATGATTTTTCTATGTAAGTTATATTTTCACTGACATTTTTCAAGGAATATGCTAAGGTTAAAATGATATAAGACTATAATAAGTATTGTGACCCTTGACCATGCGCCGTGTCGAGTCCCACTGCCGAGTCACTTCTCACAACAGAACAGTGGGACCATACACTGACATTTTTCAAGGAATATGCTAAGAGTTACCAAGGAGAGCACTCACTTCGTTTCTTTTCTTAAATGATTTTTCTATAAAATTGAAGAGGTAGACTAAATTCTCTTTGTTGACACTGTTAAATACTTTGCATAATTGACTCTCTGGTGACCTTGTATCAGCTTTTAGGATTGAGATTTTACTAAAGAAGGTATCTAGGTCTGTTTTGTATATTGGGAATTGGAATATAAAATGGTATTCATCTTCAATTTTCCCTTGGGTACACAGGTGACAGATTCTGTCACACCTTTCAGTTTTCGGCCTGGTGTGCCGCCCAGTTTCGATGTGGAGTATATGGTCGCTGAGACCATTATTGTTACTTAAAATAACTCTTCATATGAGACCCATATTTCACAATAAATACATTGGAAACAACTCATAGAAATGTAATAAATACTATTTTATCACCAAAATAGAGGTTATAAATTGATCTGGAATCTGTGCTTGCCATCAAACCACATGACCTCCACAGATGGCAACTCTGCAATAATCACTTGAAAGATTACAACAAAAAACAGAACTTAAAAAAACCAGGGACTAACTTTGAAGGGACTAACTTTGAGTCATTAACCATTAGGAAGTATGGGAAGATTGTTATTTACTTCAGGAAAATCCAATTTTTTTGGTCAAAACGAACAGTTGTTATCCCTTTAATCTGTATTCTATATTCTGGTATGTAAAGAATGATTCAGGTTTCCAATATTGTCATGATGTTAATAGGCCTATTTGGGTCATTCTATGTCAGTTCAACTAGTAGCTCTGGAAAATGTATTTTGCAGAATGGTTTCTTATTTGGTATTCTATATTTGGCATACCTGCATTGTTCAGATGTATTTTTTAATAGTCCGGTATCAAAATGTAGATGCTAGCAACTAAAATTGAAAGTTTTGTGCAAGAAGATATGTTTTACCAAAATAATAGCTTTAAAATTTTTCTTTTCCTCACCAGAAACAATGAACTTCAGTTCTTTGAAATATTAGACAAATCTGCTTGTGATGGATGAGGAATCTTCACCAACTGATTTGAGATGAAATGATCCATACATTCATAGCATTCTCTGAATTTAAGCAAACGTTTTTAGTCCCAAAAATCTGTGAGTTACAATTCACTGTAACCATAATGTTTGTAACATATCATGACATTATTATAATAATCAAAGTGTCTGTGAAAATCAAAGTGTCTGTGAATATATGCTATATTTTTGTATTTCTATTTCTTTTTCTTTGAATGTAGTCTCTCAATTAACTTCAAGAAAATGTTCAAACGGTCTTTGCTGGCACGGTTTACTCTTTTCTTATTGAATTCTTCAAAGCTAGCATATTCTAAGCTTCCAGCTTGTCTCTTATAGTCTTTTGAAAAAGATTGCTCCAGCTGTAAGGAATCTTGAACTTGATGGCTTAAATGACGCTTTGCAGCATGTGTATTAAATTCTGATGAAGATTGAGTTCTAACTCTTATTCCCTTGTACTCTGAAATTGAATTATATACCTTGCTTTCAGTATAGGAAATATTTCTTTTCGTATTTTTAAGATGTTTAAGGTCTACTTTTATGTTTAACAAATAATTGAATATTAGGACATTTAAATTGTAGGATACATAGGAAAATGTTGTTGCTTTTGTTCGAGTTTGAATTAAACATCTAAGATATAAAGATGTCAAATTTTTTGGCTTCCAATTGTTTCATTTTTAACTGTAAAATTGAAATCTACTTGAACTTACTATATTTTAGTGAAGGCATCTTAAGGTGTTGGTAATTCCAAATCTCTCTCTGAAAAAAAAAAAGAAGTTAAAGAGCTGATATCTCTGTCACAAGTAAAATTTTGTTGAGCTTTATCTAAGTTGGGATAATGAGTTATGTGAGATAAATTTGCATACTAAGACCCTGTTCCCATACCTAGATCGCTCTAGCAGGATTGACCATCTCCCATAGGTTTATCATTAAATTGCATTCATCTTAAGTGGCTTAGATGTCAAACATGCCTACTGAAGCTGCTAAATGAAAGTTAATCACCTCCTAATGGCTTCAGTAGGCATGCCAGACATCAGAGCCACTTAAGATGAATGCAACTTAGCGAGAAACCCCTTGGAGATGGGTCTATCCTGCTAGATTGATCTAGGTATAGGAACAGGGTCTGATCTTATGTAGCACTTTGACTGTGTACATGCTGACACTTCAAAAAGATATCTGATAGAAATATGCACACTGTCTGAATTGATCTATGTCAGGTAAGTGATATATTGACCTTTTTAAGAAGAAGTTTTGCAATTGATTTTTTCATGTAATCATCTTGAAAGATGTGAATCCACACCAGTTTATCTTCTGTGGCATGTTCACCCAGACAAAGCGGCTGTCTGTTGTCACCCCCAGCATCCAGTTTGGGGTTGATCAATGTACACGTATCATTTCCAGCATGAGCTTGGACATTCAGACACAAACTGCATGTTGCTGCCATGGCAATGAATAGCTGGTTGAATGAATCTCTGTATAATGAATTTTTTAATCTTGGATCTGTCACTTGAAGGCAGTCCACTATGGCTTTGTTTTCTGGTCCTGGTTTGCGTGTTATTGTCACAGTAACATATTTATCAACGACATTGCTGCTGATTTGGTTCATTGTCTGAAGAATTCTACTTAAGGCAATGCTCGCTGTGGCTTGTACAATGCAATACCTGGCAAGTTGTAAAATTGAAAATTGCATCACATAACCACATGTAATTCATACTGGTACCTAGACCAGTTACATTTGTGACATGGAAAATTTCCTGAAGTTTTCATAATTTAAATGCAATAAAAGTTAAATGATAAGTACAGTTCTAGTAATAAATGCAATAAAAGGATAATTTATTACAGTTTCTAATGTATATTTAATCTTTGACTTGTTATGGTGGATATTTCCAAAACTTGTTTTGATTAAGCTTAAGCTGCCAAGAACACATGCTGTACAATTCAGTGCAATTTAAGAAGTTATTGCGTAACTTTATGCTGTTCTGTTAAAAAACTACCTGGATAGAATTCATACTAATGAAACTTACACCCCTGTCTTCTGTGCTCTATATTTAAAGATTCCTGCTGCCCTGTTCCCTCTGAAGCGTGCTTCTGCTGTTATATCCTGCCAGCTCTCTCCACATGGAACAGAAGAGTCAGAATACAGGATATAAATGTTATTGTCCTCAGTTTCATTGTAATCCATCCTTAAAAGTGAGTCCTCTACACAGCACTGAAGTGAGGGTTGTTCACTGAAGCTTGGCTCCCAGCTATAGATTACAGTATCGTCTAGTGTTAAGCTTTTCTCTGGACATTGGACACTAATGAACTGTCCGTGTTTAAAGACATCTTGTCTCTGGCTTGTAGCAAGACTACATATCTAAGGAAAAAAATAATAAATATTTTTACTGGTAATACTGCCCTTTAGCAGTGATATAATTCTTATTTGTGTCTAGTCAAGATTCTGATGAATATGTTAATTTCAGTTTTCAATCCCAGAAAAGGTGTAGAAAAGGAGGTTACATTTTTGGTTTTGTTTGTCAACATTATGGAAAGGTTTTAGGGGAATTTTGATGAAATTTTCAGAAAGTGTCAGGACCAAGTAAATAAGCAATTAGACTTTGGAGGTGATCCATTTTGACCATAGGCAACATTAACCCTTTTGGACACAAAGTTGGTCAAGTCATCACCTGGGGAATCCTATTAATTCTGCAGAACAGCACTAATAACAAGGTGCTTTACTAAAAAGCCAAAACATCTACATTTTTCATTGTAATGGCTTGGAAATTTCATTGTTAATAGAAAACATATAAATACAAGTGTATTCCAAAAATGTTTTTTAAAAAATCAACATTTAGTTGTCATACTACTAGTGTATTTCTCAATGTTGCATTATTTTTCTTTATTTTAATTATTACCTTTAACTTTTTTCATGGAATTTTCATGGAATTCTAGTGATAATCAATGCAGACATAATGCATAAAAATTCAGAAGAAATAATTATCTTTCAGAAAAGAAATTCCCAGTATAACTTGCAAAAGAAAATAGAAGTATTCTTTATGCTGCAAAAATTCTTCCAAATTTCCATCTTCACATTTATAAAAAAAAAACCGCAAGGACCCAGCACATTTTTTACTTTCATGTTGTCTGCTATGACTGTTGTATATTGCCAAATTTCAAGTTGATTAGTTGAAAGATCTATTTAAAAGTAACTTGATTTACAGGGGCCTTTTCGGGCCTTCTGACCAGGATCCCCCATCAGACCTTTTCAGGCCTTCCGATCAGGAAAGGCTTAATAAAATATGCAAAAAGTTATGGGGGGTCTCTGATGATATTTTCAGGATAGGTCAGAAATATGTTAAATTTTTAATGACTTAATTACCAATATGATGAGAATTGAGCTAATTAATTTGTTAATAAATTGATAATAATGATTATTGAGTTTATTAGTTCATTAATGAGTTAATCAAGGAAAATAATGATTAAGCAGCCTTGGCTGAGGTCAGTGCTTTCTGAGTGATATTCTATTTAAAGGGATAATAACTGTTTGTTTTGGCCAAAAAATGAATTTTCCTGGAGTAAACAACAATTTTCCCAAACTGACCAATGGTTAATGAATCCATTTCTACATTCAAAGTTAGTCCCAGTTTTTTTTTTTTTTTTTTTTTTTTTT